CTCAAAATGATGATAACAACTTAGACGACGAATCCTACATCACTGTGCGGATAAATCGAGGCATTTGTCTGACATACTCCCAACCAGGTCACACGGGTAGACGTGTTCCACCCTTCGCCTACAACCACTATATTATGTACTTCATATAACACGCGTGTGTGATTCTCACAATCTCGCGATACCACTGTATTATAGTAAAACGTCAGCGGCTGAATCTGTAGTCGAGCACCGGTGTGCGTTGGACTATGTTTGACCAGAGTGGGCGTTGTCACAAATCCCAGAGTGGGTGATTGCCTAAGTTGAGCGCGTTGCGAAGCAAAAAATGGTGCGGCGGAGACGGTGTAGTCACCGTATCGTAGACCCTTGTTACTGGCGGTCAGGGTTGGCCTTTGCGTCCGGGTTGATCTTGGCGTGCCAGGTGAGGCCGTCTTCTTCCGGTACGAGAGTGAAAGTGCGTCCGTCGGCGAAGTTGACGCGACATTCTGGGTATTTCTGTAGGTACCTTTTGAATTCGAAGATGAACTGTTCGAAGCGGTTTGATCCGAGTACTTCGTGGAGTCTGGCCCATTCTTGGACGGGCAAGACGAAGAGTTGTTCTTCCCCAATGGCAGAGGTCTCCGGCCCGCGTCGTAGTTGGTTGCCTGGTTCTTCGGGGGACCATTCTGTGGTGACTCGGTCAGGGTTGGGTGCTGAATGGTGGATGCTATCGAAGGGCCAGTCGTCTTCGTGGGGCGGCGGTAGCATGGTGCTGGCGTGGTACAAGCGACCTTCAGGGTCGGTGACGCGCCAGGCGATGGCAGGAGCGTTAGTTATGTGGCTACTCCAGCGCCACAACTGGATGTGCTGCTGCGATAGCCACGGGAGACCTCGGACGCGTGCTTCATCTTTCGGTTTCAACGACACGACTGTCTCATCTTCAAGATGTATCGTGATACTTGTGTTCTCCAACCACTTCCACACAGATTGCACCAGGCGGCTCTTCTCGGCTGTACTCAAGTAGCGGGGTGCTAGAACAGACAACTGCTTCAGGCGATGGAGTTCTTGCCCATCCAGAAAATACTCCTCAGGCGCCAGTCGTACGGGCTCCTCATCCAACACTTCATCCAACCACGAATCCGCGCACTCTGTCTCCGTCCATGGATCCAGCAGCCAACGAACGAACAACTGGTCAGAAGCAGACACACCAACCGCCGTCCGCAAGTACGCCCTACCCGACTCACCCAACCCTTCAAACGACTCGTTAAACGTCTTCTCATGCTGCGTCAAACCCTTGTCCAGTGTGGGACCACTGTCCACGTACGGGCCACAGACATCCATCGCCAACAACCCGCCCAACCGCAACTTACTCACACCCGACTCTATAATTAAACACTTCATTCCAAATTTTTTTAAACGGCTACGCACACACATATACCGAGCTCAACCCGCAGGGTGTAGACCCGACTCGGAAGCTTGTCTTGGGAATCACAAACCGGGTCCCGTACTTGTGCTTCGTGTCTTGAGGCGTGCTGCATCCGCAGTTAAAATACCCTCGGTCTCAGTCCCAGCCCCAGTCCCAGTTTCTTTGAGTTCCGAGGGTTGATGACGGGGTTTGTTTTGTCCACTAAATCTAACGTTAAAAGTAATGTTAGGTAATAGTTGATGCAGACGCAAGGCAAGTCAGTGGTGTGTAATTTTTGCCACTTCCGAACT